GAACTGTGGTGCTGGAGAAGAGTATTGAGGGTACCATGGACAGCTAGGAAAACAAACAGATTCATCCTGGAAAGGGTTAAACCGGGCGGCTCCTTGGAGGCAAGGATTCTGAGGCTTCTTCTAACATACTTTGGACATGTTGTAAGGAGAGACTGGTCCTTGGAGAAAGACATCATGCTTGGTAGGGTGGAGGGACAGCGCAGGAGGGGAAGGCCCTGTATGAGGTGGACTGATTCTGTGACTGGGATAACCGGTATGGGTGTGTCAGAGGCAGTGCGATTGGCACAGGACAGAGTTTAGGGCTGTTGTACGCTGTAGGTCGCTATGAGAAGTGACTTGAACATACATAACAACAGCAACGTTCTTATCCTAAAATTATTAGTAGCAGACAAACAATGTAAAGGGGTTTTCTGTCTTTGAAGGTTCTTTTTGTTACTTGGCAGTAAAGCTGTTTTTGGATCTTCAAAAACTGTGTTATGCTTGTACTTGGCCCTCTATGGTCCCATGTCCATTCCTTAGACTGTCACAGTTAAGTGAACTAGGAGTCCTAGGACTTTGTCTTAATTTGATCATATCTGTGACTACTCGGATAAATGTAAAGGGAAAAGATTAATTTATATTCGTTTTCAAACTCAGAGGCTGTAAATCACACGGAGGAGACTGTCCATTTTTCTCCTGTGGAGCATCTGGTGGATTTTAACCACCTGCCTTTGGGCTGGCAATAAGATTGCTTACTCACCAGGCCACTAACGCTCCAGGGTTTTCCAACTAATCTTATAGAAACACTGGTGCTGAGCCACCAATGAAATAAAAAAAAAAATTCCTTTCCCTACCAGTTTCATAAAGTAGGTTAATGGGCACAAAACTGTCAACCTAGTCATGTGCAGTGTTCTTCGGAAGAGCTGGCGCTGTGTGTGAGGGACGCAGTTTTCTATTCGCATCCCGCGTCTGTGGCTCCCGAAAGCGGTCAGCAGGCAGCTGCCCAGCCCCCTCGCTCTCCTGTTTCTACAAGCAGTGTCTCTGCGGGCGGAGCAGCCTGGGCAGAAGCCACGGTTCCCTGCCAACGTGGTACCGCTGGGCAGGGGCAGCCCGAGTCCGGTCTACAGGAGCAGTGACGTCCGCTCGCGGTGTCGAGGAGCAGGGATACAAGGGGCCGCGGCCCTGGCTGGCCTGGGAGGACCCTGCAGGGTCCAGAGGGACCAGGGGCGGGGTGCTGATGGAGGGATGGACGGCTCCCAGGTGCACGGTCAAGGCGCTGACCACCACCCGGGCGGGGAAGGATTGTGACCCTGGGGGGCAGGGGGCGAGAGGCGGTGACCGGCACAGAGAAGGGAGGTGACGGAGGGGGAGGGATCGTGACCCTGGGGGGGAGGGGAGGGAGAGGCGGTGACCCGCACAGGGAAGGGTGGTGACGGAGGGGGAGAGATCATGACCCTGGCGGGAGAGATTGTGACCCTGGGGGAGGGGACAGGCGATGACCTGCACAGAGAAGGGTGGTGACGGAGGGGGAGGGATCGTGACCCTGGGGGGGAGGGGAGGGAGAGGCGGTGACCCGCACAGGGAAGGGTGGTGACAGAGGGGGAGGGATCGTGACCCTGGGGGGGAGGGGAGGGAGAGGCGATGACCCGCACAGGGAAGGGTGGTGACGGAGGGGGAGGAATCGTGACCCTGGCCGTGAGCGTGGAGCATAAGCTGGGCAGCGTGGGTCCTGAGCGGCCATGAGTAGGGCAGCCCGGGGCCGCCGCAGCCCCGCACTCACTGCCTCCTTCTCGAACATGCTCAGCCTCCGTTCTTTCCGAGGCGCCGCCTGCGGCGTCGGCGGAGCGTTCTGAAGGATCGGCTGCTTCACGGTGCGGCCGCGTTTCTCCATTTTGGCGGCTCCGAATCCCGCCAACGAGTCTGGGTCCCGGCGGCACAAACGCCTGCGTCCCGCCCTTGGGAAGCCGAGGCCCTCACGCGCCCTGAGGACCCAAAGGCCGAGAGGCCGAGTCATCAACCTGCGCCCGCCAGGCCTGGAGGGAGCGCGGGGCGTCACGTCATCCGCCGGCGCTGCGTCATCCGCCGGCGCAGCACCATCCGCGGGCGGTACGTCATCCGCCGGCGCCGGGTCATCGGAGGGTGTCACGTCATCCGCCGGCGCCGCGTCACCCGCGGCGGCGCGGACCCGGAAGTGATGGAGGTAGGAGGAGCGTGGGTGGCTGCTCGAGAGTGTCCGTGCCTGCTTGTGTTTCCCCGCAGTGCCCACTGCAGTGCCCTGCGGAGGTGGGCGCCGGGCAGATGGTAAGGGGAGGTGGCTGTTTATGTAGCTGGAGGACGTGGCCTGTTCCTAACAGGAAAGGAAGGGCCTGAGACATTTTGATGGGAAAGCCAATCGAGCTGTCTGGTGGGTCTTGCCGAGCTCTTCTGTCACAACACGGGCAGAGGGGCACTCGGGGAGGCTGGCCTGCAGCTCGGAGCCCGCTTCTGACCACGCTCACGAAGCCCTTCTCCCTTAGCGCTCTCCCTGAAAACTGCTAGTGCTGGATGGAATTCCTCATTTCTCCAGTCGCCGAGGTCAGAAGTGAAGTTTGTCCATTTTAAAAATCCGGTTCATTGTGCGACTGCAGGCTGCTGAGGCTGTAAGAGCCCTTGATGGGTGCTGCAGGGGTTCAGTGCTTGTCTCTTAATGGAAGCGTCAGCGGCCGCACTCTCCAGCGGCTCTGTAGAAAGAAGATGTGGCAGTCTGCTGGAGTGAAGATTGACAGCCTGGCGTCGGTTCTGCGCGGCTCTGCCTGCTGCGCTGAGTGTTGATTGCCACCGATGTGGGGTTTAGAGTTGTTAAGCTCAGAATAAAGCAGACACAAACATCGGTTACTTCTATTAGTTCTAACTGTGGCCTTCCTCCCCGAAAGGATGTCTTTTCTACGTAGTACACTAAGCAGTGTTAGGAAGATGTTTACTAACGATCTCCAGAATAAACATATCCAAATGAAAGCAGTGTTAGACTTTTGGGTGGTTGTGGTAGGATCTCGTTGATTGCGTGACTGAATTGGTTCAGGGTTATCTCGTGGTAAGCATAATAAGTATTTCTTCCCTTTGCCAATTCAGCGTCAAACATATGTAGTCAATAGTAACTCTGTCTACTATATTTGTGTTACTTCTATGTATTAGATGCTCTTTGAGTTTTATCTCCAATTGCAACAGCCTGGAAAGTGGTAATCTTTACAAGTGAGGAAACTGAGATTCAGGCACATTAACTAACTTTTCCAAGGCAAGAAAAAAAGAATCCAATTTCAAACATTTCTAGCCCCTTAACTTGATACATATTTCTGGTTGGGATTTTTTTGACCCAGGAAATCACATATTTGCAGGCTTGTAAGATGATCTTAGTGTCTAGTATAATTGTTTGGGTTTTAGGTAATCTTGATGGAAGAATAGTGTGATCTGCTTTTTGTTCACGTCACACTGGAAGGCATGGATATGCCTTTTTCTGCCTGTCAATTCATTATGCTTGATCTTTTGCTTTCCCCTCCTGCAAAAAACCAAACCACAGTCATTAATTTGAGTCCAACTCCAAATAACCGGGTAGGACAGAGCAGAATGGCACAGTAGGATTTCCAAGGCTGTGATCTTTATGAGTGTAGATTGCCACATCTTTTTTTCTACAGAGAAAGCTGCCAGCCCCAGCAACAATAGGAGAGTTCAACAGGGCAGCAAACAGCAAATGCTGGTGAGGTTGTGGAGAGATTGGCGCTCTTATTCCCTGCTGACGGGAGTGTAAAATAGTACAACAACTATTGAAGGCAGTCTGGTGCTTTCTCAAAAAGTTGGAAATAGAAATACCATTTGACCCAGCAGTTCCCTGAGAGGGAATATACATTAAAGAATCCATAGCTGCAGTGCAGACATCCCTGTACCCTCATGCTCATTGCTGTGTTGTTCATGACAGCAAAGAGATGGATGCAACCCATTGCCCAACAACCAATAGAAGTATAGAAAAACTATGGTACATTCACACAATGGAATATTACAAAGCATTGAGAAACAACTTGTAAAACGTTACACAACATGGGTGAGCCTGGGGAACATGCTGAGTGAAATAGCTCAGTCACAAAAGGACAAATACTGCATAGCACTGAGCTGGGGCAGTGGGGAGGAATAGGAAGAGTGGCTAGATAATGAATACTGCATTGGAACAGATGAGAGGATGGACTGAAAGGAATTACATGTATGACAACCATCTGGAACAGGAGGTGCATCACTGAGTGGACTGGGAGAGGGGGAAGGGAGGGAGAGAAAGGAAAGTGCACAAATGAATGAAAGAAAACCCAGCCTTTCTGTAAACTTTCATTAAGGTAAGGAGTTTGTACCACTAACTTTTTGGTTAGCAGCCCAGCCCTTTACTGTGCAGGGAAGGCTCCCGTCTTCCACTCCTCATGAGATGTTACTTTGTAACTCTGGCATAATAAAACAATACTATAAGGCATGTTGTTGTTTGTGGTCATGTTGGAACAACCCTTAGCTGAACTGCCAGTGGGTTTTCAGAGGCAGTTACTCGCACAGGAGAAGATTGCCCATCCTTCTCCCACTTATTCTTGTATACCACTGAGTCGGAACTGACACCCAGCTGACCCTCAACAGGTTTTCAGAGGCAGTATATTATACGGGAAGAGATTGCCCATCTTTCTCCCAAGGAGCAGCTGGTGGATTCAAACCATGTACCTTTGGATTGGCCACACAGGTCACCACTAGGCCACCAGAGTTCCCATCAGCAGGCATAATGCTCTATTGATATGACTTACTGAGCTTTGTGAATGCATATGATAAAATAATGTTAAAGATCTTTTCTTGAATCACAGTGTTTTAATCCTGTTACTCGTGGTATATAGAG